ATTAAAAGAAAAAAAGACAGTAAACTATTATATTAGATCAGCTATCACAATGAAACTACTAGTCAGAGCTGGGTGTTACCAAGCTCAAGGCAAATTAATGTCTAATAAAACAACTTACTATTTACATTTTTGCAACGTCAGTCATGACTAGCATCTGGTGGCTCCTTATAACTAGTAAACCAAACATAATATTGAAAACCCCATCCTGTGACTCAGTGGTAGAGCACTTGCCTACCATGTGTGAGGCACTGGGTTAGATTCTCAGCACCACATAAAAATAAATAAAGGATGGGGGCTGGGGTTGTGGCTCAGCGGTAGAGCGCTTGCCTAGCATATGCAAGGCGCTGGGTTCAACCTCAGCACCACATAAATAAATAGATAAAATAAAGGGTATAAATAAATAAATAAAGGCCCACCAAAAACTTATAAAATGTTTTTTAAAAAGAGAAAGAAAGAAAAGAAAAACCCATTAAAAAAATCATTCCTCATCAAACACAGTATACCCTGTCAATGAACTTGGAGATATCCAATGATGGGGGATGATTTGATAACTAAAATTTTTAAAAAAGGAAAAAGTATTCAATAAATCAGAAAAAGGGGGGCTGGGGATGTGGCTCAAGTGGTAGCGCGCTCGCCTGGCATGCGTGCGGCCCGGGTTCGATCCTCAGCACCACATACAAAGATTTATGTCCGCCGAGAACTAAAAAATAAATATTAAAAAAATTCTCTCTCTCTCTCTCTCTCTAAAAAAAAAAAAAAGAAGTGTGATAATGTGGCTTTTAAAAAAAATAAAATAAAAAAATAAATCAGAAAAAGGGAGCTTAATGTCTCTGATAGAAGCAACAGCTCTATTTTTCTGTTCATACCACTGAGAATCAATTCTCTGCAAAATATATATGAACTATATATTTATTATTCCTAATTTAAGAATTGAATTCACTGTCTCTGCAAATCATGTCTAGAAACGTTCATGAGCTTACAACTAGAACTCAGAATGTCTCCCACAAACTTCTGCTGGGGCTGAAGAATTCAAATCAACACCAACACCTAGCTGCAGTTATTCCTGCAGTTATTAAGCCAGGAAAGGTAAGTACATGATAAACCATGAACAAACTTCAATTTGCAGACATCTATGATGTTCAAAGTCTCATTTCTAACAAAGTTTCTCACAACAAATCACTCCACCTAATGGCAAATTTTGAAGCACTAATTAATATCTGACCTGTCTAAAGGCTGCAGGGCTGGGATAGAGAGGTAAAGAAATGGACATCTATCCCTATATTTACATAGTTCCGAAAAGACATAAACTTGTTTTATATAAACCATCTCACTACCTTGGGAGGTAGATAAAGAGTCAGGTTTCTGGAGAGAGAAATAAGAACAAAGGGATTAAGTGTCTTGTCCAGCAAGTTACAGTAAAAATAAAACTAGAACCCAGTTATTTATCCTACAAAATCTAAATAACCTGCCTTCCTTAGTTCATAAACTCAGTATAATATTTTAAAGTGCCTGAAAATTACCTCAAGCTAACAATACATATAATCAGAACACTAAACCAAAATTGAGTATTTTGAGCAAGAAAGTACTGCTTAACCCAAATCAATAAGATGAACAAAATGGACTTAAAATACACAAGAAAAAAACAATGTCCATATTAGAGAGAATTTCCAAAGGTCTCTATTTATCTTATATCCTACTGTTCAAATTCTCTGCCAAAGAGCAAAAAGGGACCAGATATGCTACCTATAATTATATTCTAAAAATATATCAAATCTCAAATACTCCAAGAGTTCCAATCAACAGTATACTACACTCAAAAACCTTTTCCTCCAAAAATGATAGAGCAATGCATTATTTTGCTGCCTACACGGCACATTTCATGACAAAATTCAGATTTTTAAAAATCATTACCTTCACAGATTACTTAAAATTTTGCTCAATCCTTGTTATGTTTAGGCAAGATTCCTATTTCCACTCAAATATTCTTTGAACATGCAAAGGCTGCATTAAGATACTTCCTAAATTGACAAAAGAAGAAAACTAATCAACCCGGAAAACTCCCAAATTTCCAAAGCAGACAATTTGTATGAAGTCAGAGTAGCTACCATAATACTATGCTGTATGAAGCCCACAGAGTAACAACTGAGGTTACTTCTGCAACATGATGAAATTTACTTTTTAGCAAAAATCTGACTAGACTTAATTTTCAACTGTCAAAAGAGAAGTTGTTTTCCAAGATTTTAGGAACCCTGCTTACTGAAGCAATCTCAGAGCACTTTGCTTAATCCTTTCAAATCCCAAAGAATTTAACACAAGCCACAGAACACTGAAATGTCTATGCTCAAACTCCTAAAGGTTACTTTCCATGTGTCTGGCAAGCTGACAGCCATATGTACATCCAGCCTGAGGTGTCTTTTCTCAACAAAGCTAAAACCATGCTCTGCAACACAAATCTAAATACCAGGGAATCCAGAAACCTCCAACTAAATTTTACTTTGGGAGAAAAAGTCAACGACCCAGTAGCATTTATTCACCCTTTGAAAGAGTCAAAAGGCTCCATTTCTGCCACTTCAGGAGAAAGTGTATATTCCTTCAGTCAGCCTGTAGTATGAGACTCAGATATTACATCACCCGATGCCTAAATACTGCCCCATTACCCAGAAAGCACCAGGATTATCTGATAAACTGCACCAAGGTATCCCTTCCTCCCTCTCTTATACACAGCCCTTGAATGTTATTGCCCCTGAACTCTCTCTTGCAGCTTCACAAAGACATATGCCCTGCATCTGCTGCAATCCCATTTCCATTCACTTTTGGTGCACTCCTCATGACCTTCTATGGCTCTTCTATCTGTCCACCCATCAGACAATTATGCTAGGAGGATACATACCACACACCTCCTCCAAACTTCAATGGGGCATTCGACTCTCCCTAACCCATTCCCCATCTGCTGGTCATAAAAAAAAAAAAAAAAAAATCAGTTTTCATGATCTCCCCAATTGTAGTAGCATAAACTTTGAAATATATATATATATGTAGTTTGATGCCCTCTGTTTTCTATTTACAACATTCTAGGATCCATATTCCCTGTCCCCTCGTTCTCAATTTCCAGTTTCTCTGAGTTTAAATGTAATGCTCTCTTTAGTTGGTTGTTTGCTGCCCCCAACTTCTGCACTCAGCCTTTCCTTATACTTTTAGTGACTTAAAAATTTTGGACCTTTCAAACTCTCAAGACTCATCCAGTCTCTCCCCACACTTCTATACCTTGGACTTCTGTACTCTCAAAAGCAACCTATTTTCCTAACTCTCTCCAACCTAAATAGTTATTTTCTGTCCTAAACCTGGACATCCTACTTCCCCCACCACCACCCCAATCCCATACACCTTGTCTAATCACAGACATGCCCACACACATAACTACCTCACCCCCCCCCCTTTTTCTATTAAAAGGTACTATGAATTCCTTTATACCCTCTACCCCAAAACATCCTGTCTTCTCCACTTCCTTCCCACTGTTCCCTGCCTACTCCCTTCTCCATTATGGTGCCCCAAACCAAACCCTCCCTCCACCTATGATACTCCAGACCTGTACACCTTCCCTTCAACCTGTTCCACCACCATCCCTACTGATTTCCTTCACACATACACACACACACACACACACACACACACACTTCTTTTCTTCCTGCCCCAGAAATATTCCATCTGTCCCATCTCACCTGCCACTCCAAGAACATTTCCCTCCTCCTTTCTGCCACCACCTCACACCCTCTCCATCCTGCCCCACACACCTGTTCCTCCAGTGTCCCCAAGACCTCCAAATTTCCCCTCCTACTGCTCCCCACTTTCATCCATTCTTCCCAAATGAACACCTTCCATCTCACTTCTGCTGCTTGTTAACTGCACCACATACACCCCACCCAGACAACTTCTCTCCATTCAAATCACCCTACCTCATTGTCCCTATTCACTCCCCAAACCCTGAAACTCAGTCCCTGCTCCATTACCCTCCCCCTTTCACCTCATACTCCTTTCCCCTGAGGATCAAACACCTGCCCATCTCCCCTCGAATATCAACCCCCTCCTCTTTCCTCCCTACACACCTCCTGCCCAGCCACTCCTCTCGGGTTTCCTGGGGCCCCTGGGCCTACTCTCGCACACACCTCCTGCCTGAACACCTCCGTTTCTTTCCGCACCACTCGAGACCCCCAGACCCCTCCGGCCCTCCCTGGTTCCTCGCGCTCGGCCTGCCAGCCGCACTTCCCCCTACCGGGACCCCCTCTTCCACCATTCCCCTTCACGCCTCGGGTGGCCTTCCCGGTATCTGCCCCTCACACGCAACGTTAACCTGGCATTGGCTCCTTCCATTTCGAGTCCCCTGTCTCCTCCTTCCACTGCCACCCCGTTCGCCCCTTGCCCTCCCCAAAACCCCTCACAACCTCCTGAACCTCTACACGCTGTCCCCACCCGCCAGAATGTCCTCCATACCTCTCGCACTCGCCCTTGCCCCAAGGACCCCCCAAACCTGCCCGAAGGCCCTCCACCCTCCACTGGGCTGGATCCCTGTACCCGCCACTCTCCTCCAATCTACCCACACCCTCGGCCCGGCCCCCAAGCCTCTCCCCCAGCTCCTGCCCCCAATGTCCTCCAACACCTGCCCGGAGCCCTCCAGCCGACCCAGAGCTCCCGGCGCCCGTCCCCCACGCTGCCCACGCCCTCCGGGTGCTCAGGGCCGGGACCCCATCCCCCGAAGGTGAGGTAGGCTGCCCGCTGCCATTCCCCGAAGCGACAGGGGCAACGCGGCTGCGGCCACAATGCCGGAGCCGCGGGGCCGGGATTGCGCCCTGCTCTCCGCCTCGGCCGCCGCCGCCGCCGCTGCTAAGGACGCACAACAAACAATGCGGGGCCCGGCCGGCACCGCCAACCGCCTCAACCGCCGCCTCAACCGCCGCCCGCCCGGGACGGCCCGCCGAGCAAGCGCCTGCCCCGCCGCAGCCTACCCGCGCCGCCGCGCTCTGCCCGCGCCCGGTCCCCGCTCCCTCTCCGCCGCCGCCGCCACCTCGTCCGCCCGCGTCTCCGGCTCCTCAGCCCAGCGGCGGCGGCTGCGGCGGCTGCTGCCCTGGTGGCGCTCGCGGCTCCGGTCTCCGCTTCGGCGGCGGCGGCGGCGAGCACGTGACGCCGCCGAGCGCACCCATTGGCCGGGCCGGGGGGCGGGCCCGCGGCTGCTGGGGAACGGAAAGCCCGCCCCTCGCTCGCCGCGCGCCCCCTCCACTCGCGCTCTGCCGCACCTGAGAGCGCCGGCCAGCGCCCGCCGTCGCCGGGCCGCGCCGCCGCCTGCGCCAACTGCGCACCTGGGAGCGCGCAAGGAGCACGCGCTGGCGGCGGCCACATGCACCTGTGAACCCGTGCTTACGTAAACTGCGTCCCTGCCTTCCTCCCTGCGCCAGGCCCCTACCCGCTGCAGCACCTGAGTCCTGCTGCGCTGGCAGCGTAACAGCTGGGGAGTGGAGACGGGCTGCGGTGAGAGGCGAGTGAAATGTACGGAAACTTCGTAACTTCCGAACCTGGGAACAGCTCCCGCTGGAGGCGGTGAGCCAGCCTCCCTAGGCCGGGTGCCCCAGTGCGGGACGCTCCCCAACCCCAGCGGCTACGCACACGGAGTAAGCGCCGCATTGCTCCCCGGGTGGAGGAGGGGCAAACCCGAGCTTTGACTTGTTAAAAGATTCGGATCCCCAGCCTCTGTTCCCTGCCCGCTTGCCAGCTGTGTGACCTTGGCCAAGTTATAAACCACTCTGAGCTTCAGTTTCCTCGTCCGGGAAACTAGGACAAGAATTCTGACTTAAGAACTGCTGGGAAGATGGTATAAAACAATAGTTGTGCATTCTCCTGGAACATACCAAGCACTGAACAGAAGTTGCCGCAATCACCTCTTCTACCCCTCCCCCTCTTCTGGACCTCCCCAGGAATGAGTTTGGGCCCAGAATCTCCTTACAGTTGGGTCAGACGTTGGATAACGCTTACCTACACTGTTCCAGGAGCTGTGCTGGAGGAGAAATAAAGATTCATTCCTTTCGTTTGTTTGTTGAGGTCTAACCACATTGCCCAGGTTGGTCTCAAACTTGAGCTCAAGCCATCTTCCCACCTCAACTGCCCAAACAGCAGGGACTACAGGAGCGTGACACTGCGCCCAACAAATGTGCACTTTTTATTTTACAGTTACTGGGTGGCACCTTCTTGGTGCCCAGCATTCTGCCAGCCAGTTCAGCCACCACGGAATATCTGCTCCGTGCCAGGCACTGTGTAAGGTGCTGGGATGCACTGACCAACGCAAGGTTCCCACCCTAGAACAATTCTTAGCCAGGGGCAAACTACGTGATCACCCAGTGCTAGAGCCAGACAGAGGAAAGACCTTCCAAGAAAGTCCCTGGGGATCCAGTCTCTTCTTTCTATCGTGCAAGGCTCCAATATTTTAATCTCTGCTTCATTCACAGAGTAAATGATTTCAACTGAAAAAAAAAAAAAAAAAAAAAAACTTTGGTGATCTGACCTTCAGCTTCAAGACACACACCCTTCCCTTTGCCCCTCTTATAGGCCAGCTTGACCCTTAGCCACACTGAACTACAAAACTATCCTTTCCATAGTATGCCCAGTCTGTGACATTCCTGAGCCCCTCCTGAGATAGCTGCTAGGCTCCAAATCCCCACTTTTGACCACCCACACCTTCCTTTATCCTCCTGAAAAATTCCTGGGTATTCATATCAACCAGCTCTCTGGAACTCCTTGACTGTCTCAGACAAGTAGCCTAAACTCTCTTCACATAGCCCTGTTAAAAACCATGTACTCTTATGACTCTAGACTATCATTGTTTAGTTGTCTGTCTCCTCTCTGGATTGTGAACATCTTCAGGACAGAGTCATCTTTCTGCCTGAGTGAACTAAGGAAAACAAGAAGTGCACAGGTGATGAGATCATTGAAGCTGGGTTTTGGAGGATGAACATAAGTCCACCAAGGGAGAAGAGATGCTGCAGTAGAAAGATCTAAGTTCACTGTACACTGGCTGTGTGACCTTCACAAATCTAGGTGTTAGACCCCTTATCTGTCAAGTGACACATAATATCTACCTCAGAGGATTTTTATAAAGACTACATCAAGTACTTAGCAAGGTGTACTGTGTAGTAAAAATTTTAATTTTTTAAAAATAGATGGAAGGGGGCTGGGGATGTGGCTCAAGCGGTAACCGCTCACCTGGCATGCACGGGGCGCTGGGTTCGATCCTCAGCACCCATAAAAATAAAATAAAGATGTTGTGTCCACCGAAAACTGAAAAAAAAAAATAGATGGAAGGCATGACATTAAGGATTAATAGTATCTCTTATTTCAATATGTTTATTGTGTTTGTAAGCATGAATACTCATGACAAAAATATGCAAATGATACAAAAGCAAAGAAAGTTAAAAATTGTCTCTCTTCCTTCCTGCCCCTAACTCCATTTCCTCCACCCCAATCCCATGTCCCAGAGAGCTAGTGTTAAATTTTTCATGTCCCATGGTACATGTCCAGAGAAATAAGAAAGTTACAGAAAATCATGTATCTATAATGTTTATATTGGATTCTGCATTGAAAAAAGAAAGAATTAAATACCAGTCACTACTAGTGTTTAATTGGGGTGGAAAGTAGAATTGGTGCGTAGGATACACATACACATATATTACCTTTTAATAATTTTATTGAAATATATTCATATATCATAAAAGTATCAATGGTTTTTAATAACTTTACTGAGCAGTGAAATATCAACACAAATCAGTTTCAGAATATTTGTAGTATTTATGGATCTCCCCAAGATTCCTTTTATCCCTTTACAATTCATTTCCATTCACACCCCCAGCCATAAGAAACCAACAATCTACTTTCTTTCTTTCTTTTTTGTTTGTTTCACTTCGTTTTATTTTGTTTTGTTGTGCTAGTGGTCCTGGGTAGTCAACCCAGGGCTAGGCAAGCACTCTACCACTGAGCTACAGGCTGGCCTTGAACTTGCTATGCTCCTGCCTCAACCTCCCAAGTTGCCCAATTACAGACATGCACCACCATGGCTGGTACCACTAATTTATTTTCTAACTGCTTTTTTGCCTTTTCTGAATATATTTGGTACATTTAAGGAAAAAAAAGAAAGAAACCTCAAACAGAGCTACTCATGGTGGTGCATGCTTATAATCCTATGGACTGGGGAGGCTGAGGCAGGTAGATCATAAGTTCAAGGCTAGCCTCAGCAATTTAGTAAGGCCCTAAGCAATTTGGCAAGAACCTAACTCAAAATTTAAAAAAAAAAAAAAGAAAGAAAGAAAAGGGCCTGGGATGTAGCTCAGTAGTAAAGCTCCCCAGGTTTACAGTTCAAAAAAAGAAAAAATAGGCCTGGACCTTTTAGAAAAAAAAAGATTAAAAGTATCACCTACCAATTCTACCCACTGATAATAATTACTGTTTTGTTTGGGGGTTTTTTGTTTGTTCTTTCGCACATGTTGAGGGGGGCCTGTATCAAGGATTGAACTCGGGGCACTCAGCCACCAACCCACATCCCCAGCCCTATTTTGTATTTTATTTACAGACAGGGTCTCATTGAGTTGCTTAGTGCCTTGCTTTTGCTGAGGCTGGTCTTGAATTTGTGATCCTCTTGACTCAGCCTCCCTAGCTGCTGGGATTACAGACATGTGCCACCAATCCCAGCATAATCACCCTTAATATTTATATATGCAGTATTGTCCCAATAGTTTCTATGCATATAAATATCTTTTACAAAGTGGGAGTATCACATACCTCCTGTTTTGATCTTTTTTCACTGCGTATAAAATAAATATACCTTTTTTGTGTATTTACTCTTTCTTTGTACTCTTCTGCATAATGTTGAGTCTTAAAAATTATTTAATTAAAACAAGTTCCCTATGGTGGGTATTTGAGTTCTTTCCGGTATTTCCATTATTATAAACAGGGGAAGGTAATGAGTGTTATAAAACTCTTGAGCTCAAAATACTTTGAAATCATACCTGAGTTCAAAGACCAGCACTCTATGATTCATCCAATCATTGCACAAAATATGTACTGAGAACCTACTAGGCACTTTTGTACACTATGGGTACAAAAGCAAACAGCCACACCATCCCTGCCCTCATAGGGCTGGAGGCCAGTGGGTGGGAGAAACAAATTACCTGAATAATTATATTAAATGCCCACAAAGAAGCAAGTGACCAACTCCCACAGGAGAAAGCAGGGGGGGTTTCTGACTCTCAGAGAGGCAGGAGACATCTTTGGGGCACATGCTGGGCCCATCACTCTGAGCCATTCTTGCAAGGGCTCCTAGCAAGGGGAGGTGAACTGGCTCCCCTTACTGTGTGGTGTGCAGGCCCTTCACCCTCCCTGGAGCCTTTACACCCTTCATCCATTGGAACCTTCCATCTCCCCACTGACAAGAAAAAAGCAGAGGTCCTTGAGACCCAGTGAAGAAAGTGAATTACTCAAGGTCATCCAGCTAGGCAAGGGCACAGCTGAAGGTAGACTCTGGTGTAACTCCCAGTTCAGTGCTCTTGGTTCGGAAAAGCACCACTCTCTACAGAAGGTGCCATCTTCAAAGAACCACACGGAGGCAAGGCAGAAGACACCTAGAGCTGCACTATCCATGCAACAGATGTGGCAATTGAAATTTCAGTTATTTAGAATTAAACAAAATTTAAAATTCAGATGCACTAGGCACAGTTCAAGTGTTCTATAACCATGTATGGCAAGTGGCCACTGTGGACATGAAACATTTACATCGTTGCAGAAATCTATGAGTCAGTCAGCAGTGACCTAGAGGAGGATAATACAGTAGAGTAGTAACGGTAATACCTTACTTGCATGTGATTTTCCAAAGCTCTTGCCTGGGAGGTACAGAGATGGGCCTGGCCTCCTCTATTCTTCCTTCCCAGCCCCTCCCCCAATATCAGCCAGTTCTGGAGGAAGAAGCCAAAGAGATAAGGGTGTCTGATTGTGCTATGAGTGAGGGGAAGGACACAGGGATATGACATTCCTCACCTTCCCGTCATCCTGTCTGTAAATCAACTCGCATTTCCAATCATTCTGTCTTCCTTCCCTTCTTC